CCATGGCCCCCTTGACCCCCCCCCCCCCTCTGGATCCGCCGCTGACGGGCTTTCACGTATTCGTGACGGTATTAATTTGTTTGCTAACGATTGTGAAAACAGCGTACGGTTCGATTCACGTACGATTCGCGTACGATTTTGACGTAAGATCTAGGAAAGTAGGAAAGTATCTGAGAATGTTGCAAAGGTGCGGGAGTTAGGTGTATGTAAAATATTTTTCGCCAACTGTAATACACTACATTTTGACATTAACCTCTAACCATGTATTATATGTTAAAATGTGTGCGCAGTAAATTGTGATTCAAATGAAAATAAAAATAAAACCCCTCTATATTGACTTTTTGTGATGTGTTCCTGATAAAAGTTATATACTATATAGTACTTACTATATTACTACTCTTTTCCACTCTCTTCGTGACGAGGAAGTTGTATATACAATGAAAGTGGTCTGATACCAGAAGCGATATAAATATTTTGTTCTCATTTTTAATATAATACCGGTAGTATCGGGGGTACTCACCTGATTTGCCTAAAAATGGCCGAAATTCATCAAATTGGAGGTCATAAAATCGGCCTGACCGTGAAAATTGGGGCCAAAACAGCGGCGCATACTATGGGAGTAACCCCGTAACCGCCCTCTTCCATGGGATGCCAAAAGAATAAGCCCGGGAGATTCATTTCCTTTCTGCATAAACTGAAAATTCTGCTGAAATTTTGGGATAATTTTGTAAATATGTCTTTGTTATTAAACTTTGTGTATACAATTGAGTACGAATTCCCCTTAAATTCCTCCAAGCGCGTAAAAATAATAAGGGGACAAATACTATATTTTTCCTTAAGACGACCACTTCGTTGAGTATATATCAATAGTTAAAATATATTCTGATGTGGACGGCATAAACTATTGTGCTGGCATTCCTTTGGTTTTATATTTCTACGTGTACATAGTATTTAAATGTCATGGTCTATCAATACACTCAGATTTAAGTAGTCATTTCCGTTGATACTGGCTGGCTCCGTTCGCGAAAATAGCCAAGAAACTATTCGGTATTCCACTAGCTCTATTAATATTTCTATGTCAAAATAATTAACCACACCACCCTGTAACACGGTTACTAGAAGACCGTAACCGTGACTGTACTGAACAACATCCCAGCTTATACGTATTGAAGATTCGATGTAAACAAACAAATAAACAAACAAGCTTCTCTCTGATTGGTCTGACTGTTAGATGTTAAGGTTGGATACCCAATCAGGTAAAATCTTAAGTAGAGCGTGACCGGGGCAAACACTTCCGTGGGTCATACTTCAAGTTTACGCCACGGTCAGTAAACTAAAACGACCTTCAATATTTGTACTATGCGTCACATTCAAGTTGAAAGTTGGTCATCTATGAAGTGGAATGAAGGTTTACATTGTATTGATGATAAGATTGCTTATATAAATATTGCAATTCGCAGAATACAACACAGGAAATGAGTCCCAAGTTTAAGGCTAAGAAAAAATATTACTGGTGGAAACTCCCTCCCACAATGTGCTGCGTTCCTTAACTTTTAATTAATAAACTTCGAGCAAATTAACATATCCTGGTTATACATACACTAATTTTAGGTTGCACACAGATGTGGTTATGATCTAAATTTTAAAGAATATTCAGGAACAAAAACAATTGAATAAACTCCGCCAGACCAATCACAGCAACAGTGAATTTGACGTCACTAGGCGACGTAAGCATATAATTTAAAATGATTCAATATTAAAACAATACGTTTCGAGCACTGTTATTCTGTGTAATATTATTTGTCAGGTATCGTACGTTTGACTCAGATTTCCTATAGATGTTAGATAAAATAAAATTGAGAATAAAATAAAATGAAACCGTCCGAACAAGAACGAATCCGCTAGTGACTCACCGATGCCCCGATACGCGACAAAGATCGTTGCGACTGTTGTTTGTATAATAAAATGCATTGTGTCATTTTTTGAATACAGACAAGTAATTAAAGCGTATATAAAAGTGTAATACTGAAAGAGTATATTCACACTCCCTATTTTGGTTATTAATATTGG